AAATTATCACCCATTGGGGATACTCTTTCAAAGACTAAGAGCTTACATCTAAAATTAAGACATCACACTTATCAAATGTTAATGAAAAATATGAAACTACCTAAGCCTATGTTAGATTGCCACCGATGGCATTCAACCCATGATATGTTAGAAAGGCTGATTTTACTCAAACCCAATATCGAAGATTTCTTTTCAGAACAATTTGATTATTTATTGACTGAAAATTGGAAAGAGATAATAACGATATTTGAAATTTCAAAACCACTAAAAATCACAACCAACCGATTCCAATCTGAACAGTAAATACTGATAGATTTTTATGCAGAATGGTTAAGATACTGCATTTAACTAGAAAAAAATTAAGCCATTTTCAATTACTATATTTGTCTTAAGAACAGAGAAGAAAGGTTTATAAAGAATGACTCTTGGACACAAGATACAAGGTTAATTAAAAGCTTAGTAAATTAATTATTTTGGATTTAATTTATATTAAAATTGTTATTTTATGGAATTGCTATTTATTTATATATTGGCTAATAACCCTTCAAGAATGACGGGGTTGAGGGGTAATTAGTTTATGTATATAGTACTAAATATACTTTATTAATATATTTTATAAAAATATTAAAATTTAGGAGAAAATAGGGTAAACTTGTGAATCACACCTCATAAGATATTCCTAATTTAAAGTATGATGATGACCCATCTTTCTTGATGGGCAAAACGAAAAATATATAACTAAGAGTACCAGAGCTCCAGTTAGTCAGCATTGACGGGGAATGAGAATTTTCTCCTTACTCCTATGATAGTTGTTACCTGTTATTTGAAAATAATATCAATTTTTATTCTTTATAACCCACTCCCCCCTTCAGGCCAGAATCCATTAAAACCAAGTTTAAATACTATGTTTCGAGTCAAAATATATTTAAAGCTTTAACTTGATACCCATATCATTATTATACTGATCCCCTACTAATATTTAATATTGAAAAAATTCCTAAGCAAGGTCCAAGTCCTACATAATTAAGAAAAAATTTCCCCAACCCCAACCAAAGATCATAATAATTTTGGTAGTTGTAAAATGAATTGGCCTTGGTTTTTTGATCAGGCCGAGCCCAGGCCTGCAAAAATAATTTGTTTTAGGTCAATATCTGATCCATAGTTAATAATAAAAAAATTCCCAACCGTCCAAGTGATAATAATTTGAAAAAATTTTCCCCAAGCCAATTTATAAAAATATTTTCCAAGCCCAACCCGACCCATTATAATTTTATAAAATTTTTCTCAAACCTGGCCGATAATAATTTGGAAATTTTTTTCCAAAAAAAATAAACAATGATATAATTAAATTACTTTATCAAAATATATTTTCATATATAAGAAGAATTTTATTACAAAATTTAAGATAGAAGGGGGCTGAGTTGGAAAGAACGTTTGCCTTTCTAACGTTAGGCTTGTTTTGAGCCGATTTCTAAAAACTAACTCAATATTTTAGCCAGAAAAATTTCTAAGCCTCGAGATTTCGGTAATATATGTCTAACCTTTGTTACTTCCATGAACAAAATCTTCATGATTTCGTAATATTTTTCTGAATAAAATATTGAGTTAGCCGTTTTTAAAATTGATACAACTAAGGAAAGGCAGGAGAAAATACTTAAAAGAGGGCCAACGATTGCAGAGAAAAGTATTAACTATAATTGCCGGATTTAGCGATTTTAAAATATTAGATAAATAAAATACTTTGCATTTTTGGGAGTCTGCTAGCTGGAGCACCCTGATTTATATATTTTATCCAAAATCATATTTGCTGCTCTTTGCAATCCAAGTTAATTCATCATATTTTCACGAATATATTTAATATAGGTTAACGTTGAAAAATCTTTTCACATTTGAAATTCATTCTTTCACCTCAAAGATCGAGGATGAGTGAACAACGGTTGTATTATGTTAATACGTATAAATAAAATTCTAAAAATTGATACATGAGTATGCTTTGCATTTTTTAAGTATATTATAAATAAAATAAGAAATTTATTTTTTATACCAAATTTATGCCTAGTTTTTTAATTATGATTTAAATATAGATTTTATTTTATCAATTCAAAAATTCTTAAACCTGAGCTGAACCCGTAACCAAGCCCTGGTTCAAAAGAGAAGAGAAGTTTCCCTAAATCGAACCGAACCCGCCTATTGTATTTTTATAAAAAGATTTTTGTTTTTTTTCTTAGAAAATAAAAAAAAAAATTGTATTTTTTTGAAAATTTTGTTTTTTTCTTGGAAAATGAAAATAAAAAAGTTGTATGAAAAATAATAAAGTTGAAAAAAGAAAATCAATTCAGCATTAAGGAAATCTAACATTATTTAAGATTAACGTAAATCGATCAGTGGCGACGATGGGAAAAACTAAAATTCGATATAAAAGTAAATAAGATGACCCCTTCGATTCCCATTAAAAAAAACAGTGATTCTTTCTCAACATTTCTTATTAAATTAAAGGCATATTTCATATTGAACAATATTACAGATGAAAAAAAGAAAAAAGCGATAATTATTCTCTCATTACAATCCAGCGATATATATATTCTAGCCCAAAAAGCTGTGCCGAAAAATATGATGGATCTAAACTATTATATGTTAAATATTTTAAAGGGGAAGGAAGCATGTTATATTCCCGCGATAGACCAAGAAATTTATTCTCAAAAATTTGAAGAAAACAAAATTATTGATAAAATAAAACACGAATACAAAAAGGATAATGTCAACGAAATGGATAAAGGAAACAAAAAATTCAGGGATAAAGCACCCCACTCAAAAAAATTACCAGATTTTATGCCTTATCATATGACTTCCATTAACGATTCTGTAAATTCTTACAGTTTAGCACTTTCAAGTAAAGAGAAAAAAGAGCAAGTCACGTCAAAAAGAAAGAAATGTTCAAAGTATTTATTAAAGGATAAATTATACGTTAAAACCACTAAAATTTTACATGAGTGTAATAAAATTGATGTAACACCCAAGTCTTCAACTAGACATTATCAAGATATAAAAATTTAAAATATTTTAAAAGATAAAAATAGTGAAAAAAATCAAATCAAATAATGACAATATAAAAGTGAAAAATATTTCAAAGGACAAAAATAAGGTAAAATATTCACCCAAAATCAAAAAATACAAATTCGATATATGTAAATTAAAAATATTTCAATATAACATCTGGGACGACAATGTATCAGCACCTCAGATAAAATTAAAAGAAATCGGCAACAAAAAGATTAAGAGACTCACGATCAAAAGAATTCAACAAACAGAGCTACCGAAGAGGGGAAAATTTACGAATTCCAACAAGACTAAACTCACATCCAAGATCAACAACTTCGGAAGAGGAAGGAAATGGAAGCAGGATACGAAAATAAAAAAAAATACTAAATGAATTCTTATTAGCTTATAGAAACACCCAGCCTACGACTACGTGACAAACCCCAGTACATATGATGTTTGGACGGAATGCTCGGAATCATCTTGAAATGATTAAAGAAACCCATGAGAGCAAACAAGACGATACGCACGCAGATCAAAGAGGTATATTTTTCAAGATAGGACAATCAGTATGGACGAAAACTTATAGTGACAAAGTAAAGTGGATCAAGGGGGCTATAGTGGGCCGATCGGGGAAGTTCATATATACTGTGGATACCGCTAAGGGCCAGTGGAAGAGACATAAGGATCAAATTAGAAAATCTTTTTAAAAAAGGGAGATGTTATGAAATCTTAGGGAGATATTATTATTTTTATTTCTTTTATCGATTTTTTGGATTGTTATTATTTTTTATTTTCTTTTATCGATTTTTTTGAATTGTGACTATTGTATTTTTTTGAAAAAAGATTTTGTTTTTTCCTTGGAAAATGAAAATAAAAAAGTTGTATGAAAAATAAAAAAGTTGTATGAAAAATAATAAAATTGAAAAAAGAAAATCCATTTAGCATTAAGGAAATCTAACATTATTTAAGATTACGTAAATCTCGACTTAGAAATTCGGCGACTTAGAAATTCAACAAATAAGGAATTTAACAAATTCCATTGTCCCAAACTAATGACCCTCCTAGTGTTCACAGAAAGATTGAGACATTCACTTAAAAAAGGCTCCGTCACTTATAAAATTGAGTCTTCACAATGGTGATTTCACAGATTTTCATAAATTGAACCAAGGAACAGGTTACAAGTTTCTGGAAACCATACCTTCCAACAACCTCGATTTTCTGCTTTCCGCCGACAAGCTAAGATTATTGGACAGCTCAATTGTTCTACCGTACCAATGTAAACATTGCGAAATCAGAGTTGATAGCAAGGGTAGACACTGCCGCTTTTGTCGAGGCCGTTTCCCATTACACATAAAATGTAATGACATCATTTTGTGTGCACTTAAATCCGCAGGTATTTCATCCAGATTTGAACCAACCGGCATGTTTGGAACTAATGGAAAAAGTTTTAATAGAATGTCCTTAATTCCTTGATCAAAAGGTCAGCTCCTGGATTGGGACTATAACTGAATTGAAAGCATCATTCAACCATAAAGTCCATGCTCTCGTCCTCTACTTATTTATACCCATTCCTGTTCCATTCTTACTCCCTTTGGTAGCAAAGCTCAATGTTTTTTTAAAGAATTGGAGATGGATTCGCGAAAAGACCGATCAGCCTATGGAATCCCTTTTCTAACAACAATGTCCTACTACCACCATTATTTGTTCTAAGTTTTATCTCTTCCATGTCTCCTCAAACATTCTTTCCTTTTTCTTACTAGTTTCTCTTATATTTTCTTTTTTAGACATCCTCTTTCAATTCCTTATCCCATTAATTCTATTTTTATATTTATCGCTTTTATTAATTTTGTCGCAAAAAATAGTTAAATGCCATCACCTTTTCATAATAATATATATTAGCTATTATTATACAGATAAACAAATGAACAAATAAAAATATAACTATTTATTTCTATTTTTTATGCAAATTTAAATCATATTATTTCATATAATATATATCACAGATAATGTGGCAAGTTCAATTATTTATATTCACCTAAAATAACCATTCATTATATTTCCCATGTAATCTATAAGTTATGAAATAGTAATTTCTATAATCATCAAATAAATTTACTTTTACTCAACAAATAATTTTTAAAAGGCATTCATTCATAAGAATTTGTTTAATCAACTTCATCAGGGGTAACCGGATGTGGTAAGGGTATAATAGACTTCTTTTCAACATCTCTTGATAATGCTTTCCTCATATCTAAGTAATATTATCAAAGCATTAGTAAAGGTTTATAATAAGTCTGACACTACATTGTTTAAAATTTTATAAATAAGACCCCTTATGTTCCTGGAAACAAATTTCTCATGCCCATCCATTGATTAATATTTTGCACCAACTTGCCACACCCATTGATTAATATTTTTACTAACCTGCCCACCCATTGATTAACATCTTGTATCAACTTGCCCATCCTTTGGTTAAAAGTATTTTTAGCCAGAGATCCAAGCCAAGCCCTTAAACATGTATTTTATAGAACCAAACCTGAAGGGTCAAAAATTGTGACACCAGAAACTTAACTTCTAATGATAATATGGAGAAAAAATATTTTAAAAATTAAGTTTAATAATTTAACATAAAAACGAATATGTAGTTTTTGGAGTTGATAGATAGTCATTCCTAGAAAATTATTAGAAAATGGTTTTAAATAATAATTTTTAAACAAAAATTATTTTCGGAAGCCCTTAAAAATCAGATTTTGATGCCAATATGCACACTGCATAGTTGGGCAGTACCTCGTATACTTGTATCTAAGATACAAGATCCTTTTATATCTTGTAATTAGTAACTTTTAGACATTTTTAATAAAATACTAGTATCTGTATCTAAGATCCTTTATTCTGAAAAGAATCCTGTATCTTTTTCATTTTCTTGACAAGATAGATACAGATTCTTTTTAATATTAATGTTCAAAATTTACATATCACAGTATACATCTTATTTTCATCTGAAATCTTGTATTAATTTCCTTATTTTTTTCCGCTATTTTAATATATTGACAATCAAAATTAGCTGAAAATTTACAACTCATATTAAGATAGATGAATAAAAAAATAATAACACCAAACAAAATAAGTAAAGATTATATTTTATATATAAATGTAATTCGATATAATATAATTACCAATTTTTTCTAATATTTTTTAATTCATAGGATGATTAACACTCATGGTAGTGAAGAATAAGGTAGTGAAATTTAAATTATGGAATTAAGTTCCCCTGAATAATCCCAATCTTAAAATTTTCAGTAGGAAATTTTTTTTAAATAAAAGTTAAAAAAGACAATGCACAGGCTGAATGTAAAACCTGTATAAACAAAAAAATGATAAAGGGTTCAACATAAATTTTGTTAAACATATTATATGTGGTTAAAAGAGACATAGGTTATTTTAAAAATTCAAGTTTACAATATTATCTACATTAAATTAAAAACTGCCCAGATGGTATGGGCAAAAGAAAATATTTTCCTATAATATGAATATAATGAGGCTTTTTGGCATCAAATCACATCCAATTTTAAGAAATTATATTGAGTCAGATAGTAAAAAAAAATACTTTCAAAATATATTATTAAAAGAAGCCCTAAATGTAGTACCAGAGTATATAATCAAGCTCAAACTATAATATAACATTAATAGATTTCACATCTAATAAAGAAAATGTAATTTTGGTGAAACAAATGTTGGGGAGTTAAATAATACAAATAAAATTAAACTGGAGGTTTTAAAAAGAAAGTCGAAATACATTATAAACGCTTAATTATTATCCTTCCATTAAGGAATTTTTTAAAATATAATAATTCAATACCTTAATCAGCTATAATTGAAAGGTTATTTAGTTTTGGCACAATGTTAAGTATGCCCAAAGGCAAAGGTCTGATAAATTATTTGAAAAATATTTATTCTATTTTAAATAATCTTTTGCTAATTAATATTTTAACTCATTAATAATACTAGTCTCCCTTTTCTATTTATGCTAAGAATAGGCTAATACTTATATTAAAATGCCTGATTATTATAATTAAATCATCATTAAATATTTTATTAATTATTGTAAATGTTAATATATAAATTTTGAATAAAGTTTATATTTTTTTCTTTTTAAATTAAATGACCTTTTCGTAAATTTTCTCTTACTTTTTATAAACACCGCTGCCACCATGATAATTTATTATATATATATATTTCTTTAAATACAATACGATTAATATTGATAATTTCTTTAACGTCTCTGATATCGTTTTGCCTTCAGTATAAACAATCTCCCATTGGCATCAATATATTCCTTTCCATTTATAATTCCATAGGCCTGTTGCATGTCGTCAAGTCTATCATATCGTATTAGAATTATAGTTTTGCTTTCATGTAATTAATATGTCCAATCTCTTAATCTCTTGCTAACAATTTTGTTCAGCTGGTCTGTTGTCTGCAAGGTTACACAAAAATTTTCTGTAATAACTGGCCATGCCTAAAAATGTTGCTAACTCCTCTTTTGTTGTTGGTTTTGGCATGTTTGTAATAGCTTTGATTTTATCTTCATTCGGATGTATGCCTTTTTCGTTTATATCATGTCCCAAAAATCTTATCTCCTTCTTCATAAACACACTCTTGTTAAAGTTTGGTGTAAGTCCATATTTGTTATTTTGTCGAAGACTTTTTTTATGTTGTTCAGATGTATTGTATCATTATCACCAGTTATCAATAAATCATCTATGTAAAATATGACATCTTTCATATCTCCAAAAATTTTATCCATGGTACATTGGGAAATTGCTGATGACGTTTTTAAACCAAAAGGTAGTCTCGTAAATCTATAATAACCTTTGTGCGTTGATATTGTAAGTAAATCTCTAGATTCTTTATGTATTGGTATTTGAAGAAACGCGTTTTTGAAGTCAATTTTTGTAAATTTTTCTCCTTTCGATAATTTTGAAATTAAATCATAGTGGTATTGGATATTTAAAGTCCTCTAATACAGGGTTTATCGTATTTTTAAAATCAGCACATAGCCTTAGTGATCCATCACTTTTATAAACTGGAGTGAGTGGACCTGCCCATCGTACTTCATCTACTAGTTCTATTACCTTATCATCAATTCATTTTTGTAATTCTTTTGTGAAACATCGTTGGTCGAACATTGCTTGTTGATTTGCTATTTGTATTGATCATCCCATTTCTCTTTCAAAATTTTATATATGTATTTTTTACAAAATTTTTATTTATTTATAACAATCATTTCTATGTCGTAAGTCATATTCTCGCTTTTGAACTTGACTTTGAATTTTGAACTTGAACCTGAACTTGTTCACTTCTCCCCCCTCTAGAAATTTTTTCAGTATTATCTTTTGTTACATTCGTTGCTCTTTTCTTTATTTGATCCAAATGTCTCCTAATAATATGATGTCCCTTGTGTAATTCATATAAGATCTCCTTTCATGTTCATCGGTATTATTATTCTGTTTTCTATGGTGACAGTATACTTGATAATCATTACGCTACCAATTGAAATAAGCATAAAAAGAATTTTTGATAATAACAAAAGAGATTGGACATATAAATTACATGAAAGCAAAACTATAATTCTAATACGATATGATAGACTTGACGACATGCAACAGGCCTATGGACTTATAAATGGAAAGGAATATATTGATGTCAACGGGAGATTGTTTATACTGAAGGCCAAACGATATCAGAGACGTTAAAGAAATTATCAATATTAATCGTATTGTATTTAAATAAATATATATATAATAAATTATAGTTATAAAATATTGATGTGATATAATAAAAGCATAATGAAACCTTTAGTAAAAATACTATTATTGAATGTCCAAATTATAATAATAATGTTGAAGCTTTTTAAAAAAAATTTGATAATATTTTAAAGGATCCACAATATTCTGATGCAGAAAAAGCTTACGCATTTGCGCAAAAATTACCTGAAGATCAATATTTTAAGCTAGAAGCAATATGTACTTCAATAGAATTTTGCAATCCGCCAATCGTTCTTGAAAGATTCAAACTATTACACCCAGACAAATCGTATATAACGTATCTAAAAGAATTTAGTGAAGTGGTACAAGATAAAAATGAAACATTCAGTAATTGGGTAGATTATGTATATTAAGTAATAAATGCAGATTCAGTAATTATAGTAGAACAATCGAGAGAATAAAAATATTTTCAACTAATAAAGAGATACGTCAGAAAATTTCACATATAGAAAGTATAGATATATCAGAGATAATGAAAATAGAAAAGGAGATTGAGGAAGAAGAAGCATATGATAAAAGAATTAATAAAATTGATAACATAAAAATAGAAGGAGACATAACGGAAATAAAACAAATAGAAATGCAGAAAGATAATCAAGCGAATACGGATAGAAGGATTATAAAATACGATGATCGCAATAGAGGAATAGATGCGCAAACGAATAACGTATACAGAAGTCAATGGAAGCCTAGATACGACAATTATCAAAGAAATAATTATCAAGGGAATAATTTTAATCCGCGTTTTCAAAACAATTTCAATCCACGATATCAAAACAATTTTAATTCGAGACATTCAAATAATTATGAACCAAGATATCGAAACAATTATAATCCTGGAGTTTACGATAATGATAGGGGGTATAATGGGCCAGGACCGTATAATAATTTTACAAGATTTAACAATAAAAATAATTATAATAACAACTACAATAACTATTGATATAATAATGATGATAATTATAAATATAATGAAAATAATTATAGATATTGTAGACATCAAAACGAATCAAGATACATACCAAGATACAATAATAATCGAAACAATAATCAGTCATACAACAACAGATATAGAGACAATAATAATAATCTATCCAGATATTCGAATAATATAAATACCGTCGATATAGAAGAAATAAAAGAGGATAATAATGATAAAAAGGAACACAGTTTATTTAAAGTTGATGTGAATAATATGGAAGATGATGACAAGGCAAATGATGCTTATAAAGTTATGATATACCTTAATGAGATACTGATAGTCATGCAGATCGACACCGGGTCGAGGTTTTCAATATTGCCGATTAATATTGCAAGGAATTAAAGTCTTAAATAAATCGGATACGAGACTCACTGGCTATGATGGGAAAAGAATAGATGTTAGGAATTGTTCAAATAAAAGCGAGATATGAAGACAAAACTCAAAACTTAAATGCGTATGTAGTCCAAAGTGAAAAGATTGCACTTCGGAGAAAGACGTGGATAAAAGTTTTCGGAAACATACTTAATAAATTTGTGAATCTAATCGAGGAAAGTAATAATGATATGATAGAAAATTTGATAAAAGAATGCAATTCAAAAATTAATAAAAAACCTATATATCGTAGTGATGTTAAATTACATTTAAAACAAGATGCAAAACCAAAAATTATACCACCAAGACGCGTTACATATAAAAGACTTGATAAAAGAATTACAAAAATGGATTGATGATAAGATAATAGAACCAGTAGATGAAGTACGATAAGCAAGTCCACTCACTCCAGTTTATAAAAGTGATGGATCACTAAAACTATATGCTGATTTCAAAAATACGATAAACCCTGTATTAGAGGACTTTAAATATCGGATAATAAAGAAAAGAGCAACGAATGTAACAAAAGATAATACTGAAAAAATTTTTAGAGGGGGAAGAAGTGAACAAGTTCAGGTTCAAGATCAAAATTCGAAAATTCAAAGTCAAGTTCAAAATTCAAAGTCAAGTTCAAAAGCGAGAATATGACTTACGACATAGAAATGATTGTTATAAATAAATAAAAATTTTGTAAAAAATATATATATAAAATTTTGAAAGAGAAATGGGATGATCAATACAAACAGCAAATCAACAAGCAATGTTCGACCAACGATGTTTACAAAAGATGTTCAATAATCGATTCATCAAACGATAATCAGATGGTCAAACAAACAATCTCAAGATATACGAACAAGTAGCTAATGGAGAAATTGAGAAACGAATGACTGGAAGTGAAGATAAGAAACTGAGGAAAGAAGACATTTAAAAAAAGAGGGAAATGTTAATATATAAATTTTGAATAAACTTTATATTTTTTTTCTTTTTAAATTAAAAGACCTTTTCGTAAATTTTCTTTTACTTTTTATAAAATATAAGGATGAACTTGTCGAAATTCTTTTTTTATATAACCTTTTAAAAAAACTTATTATTTTAATATGTAAAAATGTAAATTTAAAATGTATATATAGAGCACAAAATGTTAAATATTTTAGTGTTAAAAGTGTTAATAAAGTATTAATAAAATATAATTTTTAATTTTTATCACCTTCCATTTAGTAAATATTCATTTTTTGTTATATTCTTCACAAATAAATAATAAAACTGTATTTTAGAAAAAATTCTAATTTTATTAATAATGATAATTTAAAAGTATATTGTATTTAAGATACTCTAATTTAACAAAAAGATACAAGTATATCTTTTTGATATTTTGAAAAAGATACTAGTATCTGCATCTAAGATTCTTTTTTTAATAAAGAATCTGTATCTAGATTCTTATTCTGGAGGGCCTGCCCAACTCTGGCACATTGCATACTTATGTAAAGGGCAAAAGCAATCCTGAATGTTCATGAATGTGACTTGTATATTTTTAAATCTGTTGTTGCAAATAATATATCACATTATATTTAAAAAAATATATGTAGACATACAATTATAAAATAATAAAAACAATGTAAACATCAGATCAGTCTTTTAAAAAGTAGTCAAATCTTATATTATTTAAATGGTAAATATTGAACTCAATCCCATATAATATAAACACAGTCCTAAAATTTAACCTTCTCCTAATATAATTGACATAAAAGAATCTTGAAAATAATTTAAATGTATACTATGTAAAAATATTTTTAAGGAGATTATATTATATAGTTAATAAATTATAAGAAATATTAGGTGAAATAAGACTAAAGTAAAGGTTAGTTGCCTTTATGGGTTTTAGACAGAGTTTGAAAAAAATCAGATTTAATAGAACATTTTTTTTATGCATAAAATAAAAATTACAAAATATTTTGTTTTTTTTCCGGTCATGGGTTACTTTATTTGAATATTTACTGATTAGTTATATAAAAAATTTTTTAGAAAAAATATTTTGCATTTCAATAAAATCTTTCTTCCTTAAAAAAAATCTTCAAAGATTTTTGATGATTTTTTTTAAATTCTGGTGTAATGAAATTAATTAATATTAAAATTATACAAAATTTTAATAAGTTTGTGTGTAAAAAGATATGAACCAATTTTTAAAAGTTCAAACTAAACCAATATAATTATCTTTTATAAAATGAATGGGAACTTTATTTTAATCTAAGCCTAAACTCATATGAGTTAAGATTGGATCTGTTTTCACCTCTTAAATTGTTTATTTTGCTGTTTTCCATTGAAACCCCTCAATATTAAATTATATTATTTATAAATAAATTACCAAAGGCATCTTCAGAAAAATCTCCAGCATAATAATTCAAAACTCTTCTATATATTGTATAACCTAGCTTCTTATACATTGTTATGGCTACTGTATTAGACACCCTTACAAATAAGTCAACAAAATAGCAATTTTGTCTGTAAACAAAATATTTTTATTATTTAAATTTTAGTTTATTTATGTTTGACAATAAAATATCGAACTATTATGAAAATGTAATTAAAACAGGCATTTTTTTTAAGCAAAAATATTAAACCACCCAATCAAAAGAATTTTGGTAAATATACCTATCAGAATAATCTTCTAAATGTTTCATCAAAGACTCCGCTAATCCTAATCTTCTATAATCTGGAGCAATTGATAATGCTGTAACATGCCCATGTAAATTTTCATTTTGCCCTTCTGTTTTCCCCATAACTTAGCATTCATATTTCATGATTAAAATAGATTGTTTGAATAAAAATAAATATATTATGACATTTAAATATATTACTATATCCCATGATTCTCCCATTAGGATGTTCAGAAACTTTGAAAAGACTTGGCCAGTGAATCATATATTTCATATAAAAACATAAGCCATACTATGAAAAATACATTACATTACTTTAAAAATAAATCATTACTGTCTCTGTCAAAGGATCTAGATTGCTAAATAATACATAGATGCATGGAATATAAATAAGCTTACACTTGATTAATCTTAAACAAATCCTCGAGTCTAAAATTTCTTATGTATGACATATTTTGTTTCCACAACTCATAAAATTGAAGGTGAGCTGAGAGGAGTACAAATAGATTGTTTGAAATAATTGATGTAATTCATTTAGGTAAGCTTTTTGAATACCTAAAATCTTAAAAGGCGTTGCCGTCCATCATCATCAATTTAGCAAGTAATTATATTATATGGAATATAGATAGTAATCATTAAGGCTTACAATAAAGATGTTAAACGTAGAATCAGCCACCACCCACCCTTAAACTAATTAAATTATTTTTGCAGTTCTCGGGTATAGGCTTTTGTTTTGCTTAACTCTTTATATTATTAGCCTATATACGTTTAAACAACAGTTCTCGGACTGTTGTGAGTACAAGTACGTGCGGCTTTCCCGCAAACGTGTGAAGGGCTCCTCATTTATTCCCAATGTCATTGTTTATTCCCCTCTAATTAATTATGCAGTTTGATGGGTTCTTGTGGAAAAACTAGCGTAGCTCTATTGTATCCAATCCACAACCAGAGGGCGAAAACGCTTTTATCACGTATAACGTACTTTATGGTATAACACTACAAACTTTAATGAATATAAAATTTATTGCTCGGCTATTACTTCTAACAGCTGGTGCGGGATAACATTGCTTATAAATAAACGAATACATAAATACATCATCAAATTCGTGCATCTGAAAGATGAAATCTTCTCTATTTGAACACAAATTTTTGGCCTCAATAATAGCAAATTTTTGACAAGGGGAAAGTGAGTATCATTTTAAGCAGGGGTGTCACTAGCCTTTACAATCTCAGGGGGCTCAACTAAAAAAAAATTGAAGCTTTTGCCCTTTTGCCGGCCTTCGGCCTGGTTTTATATTAATATATTATATTTTTTAAAAATTTGCTACCTCTGAATAATTATTCTGAATTTCATATTTTAACATTTATTATATTATGCATACAAAATAAATTAGCATATAAATAATTAAAACAATATAAGACATTTCTAAAATTATTATTTTTAATACAAAATCTATTTATTAAAGTAAAAAATATTTTCGTTTGGTGATATAAAAAAAGTTAATTAATTCATACATATGCCTTAATTGATAATGGTTTTTAAAATCTACATATTATAAAATTAGCAACTTACATTGAAAAAAGGTCAAGAAACTAATATAACACTCTTTTACCATTTTTAGACAATGTTTTATAGAATGGATTAATAAAGAAAAGTTTATAGGCCTAACCAAATCAACAATTCTCGGAGAAGATAATATAAACGACCAATCCAAATCATAAAACTATATGGTGGTTACAGTTTCCTCTTAAATGACATGATGAAAGCTAGATAAGTAATTGAGAAAAAAATTGTGAGATAATTTCTAAAATATTATCTTTCATTTTTAATGATATATAAAAAACCAGAGTTGTACAAAAGATCTTCTTTGAAGATTTTTGAGCGAGATCTAGCTCAAAAATTTGAGCAAGATCTTTGAAGATCGTAAAATTTGAAGATCTTATCGCTGCGATCAACGATCTTCAAAAATCTTCATGATATTTATTTTTTTTACCCCTTTATTAAAAGCCCAGATGTTTTTCAATTTTCATCAAGGCAGGAGGAGAGGTATAAAACATAAAAGAAATATTATATTAATAAAATTGAAAAACATCTGGGCTTTTAACAAAGGGGTAAAAAAATAAATATCATGAAGATCTTTGAAGATCGTTACACAAAATTTTTAAAAAATAAAAGATCTTCAAATTTTACGATCTTCGAAGATCTAGATCTTTGAAGATCTTTTTATTTTGAGCAAATGTACAACTCTGTAAACAACTACACAGTTGATCATTAGTGCTTATAAAATATGCAATCATCTGCTCTCAGCAGCTGTAATAATAATCTTAAATTAAATCAGTGACGAAGCGTCAAGTTCATTACTAGGGAAGCAATCAATAAAAAAATTTTATTTTTATTTTGGTCAAACTCAAACCATAAAAACATTAAGATTTATAAATAAATGGTATTCGTCTTTGTTTTTGAGTAAAATGATAGTATTGCATTATAAAAGTTATTGCTAGATTAAATTTTTTAATAATTTTTTTTCAATCGAAATCAAAGATAGATTTGATAATCGATTTTGGCTCATCCTGTTTCTGCAATAAGATTTGATTCTTTTTAAAGATGAAAAACTCCGTTCTGCACTTGCTGCTGTTGAAGCCAAAGTTAAGAAGAATTTGCATAATTTAAAAAACTATTTAAAACTTTTCATCAAATCGGTGCATATTAAAATTCAAGTTTTTCCTTAACATTCTTTTTCTTTCTAAATTCAACATCCCGATACACTACCTTTAATTCGGTTTCCAGCTTGTATATGTCGAAAAATTGAGAATAAGTGTCGTTTACATTATCTCATAAATATTTTGGGAAATTTTGATTATTTGGAATTTACTAATATCTAACAATTCGACGAATTTAATATTTTGTGTAATACATATGAAATAGAATTAATCAAATCATTTTAAATATAGCTTGATAGTCCAATAAAAACTGCACTATTTCTAAATGATGTATCAATAGTAAATTATCTTCCGCGAGCAAATAAATTAATTCAATATAATTTCCTCTATTTACTGAATTGGAAGATTCATCATCACCACGGAATACGAGCTCCTGTATTCCAAGAAAACTTCTAGAGTTGATCAATATTTTCAATATTTCTCTATTTAATTTGACTATAGAATTATGCTGTTCGATTGATATTTTGCGCATCGAATCTATCATATTTTCAATATGATTTTTGCCAAATGTTTTAAATTGTATCATCGACTGCAAATGAGCGGTTGATTCTTCATGCCATTTAACTGCTTTGAAAAATTATTCATATCCGAAAATCTTTTATTATACCAAACATATTTTTCTTTTGGGAATAATAGGCATGACCAACAATATAGAGAATTAGAAAATTTACATCCAGTGAGCCATTCATATTTTTCATATTTATCGATAGAAAAATTACGGATGCAAGTTTTGATTTCTTTTTTAAGTTTTGTAAAATTGGTTTTGGTCTTCCTATTTCAATAATCAATTTTTAAGCATCAAACTTTCTTGAGCTAAATGATAATGTTAATAAATTTTCAATAATACAATTACAATTATTAAACATTAATAAAGGATTTTAAAAACGAAAAATTTTTTATTTTCAAAAAGTAAGGAAAAAAATATTATATAAAAAAATTTCTTTCTCTTTTATTTATTAAAAAAATAATCATTTTTTTATTTACTTCCCCAATGCTTATTTTTTAATGGTAAAATTATACAATACCATGGCATGATTTTTCCTTTATTTATTAAAAAAATAAGCAATATTAAATTTGCTTCCCTCATGTATATTTTTTTTTAACTTAGTAAAAATCTATATTATAATTTTCCGATGTCCTCACTACGTCATCGTGACGTCATGTCATCGCTACGTCATATCATCGCTACGTCATGTAATCGGTACGTATTTATTTTTATTTTTTTTATTTGTTGATTTTATTCATTTTATTTTATTCATACAGATGAATGGAATTGATGGTGTACACGTACCTACCATGGATGAATTTATTCCCTCAAATTTGTAAATAAGAATGTAACTTTTTATTTCACTTAATCCTTTCTTTATTTTTTAGATTACCTTATCAATTTTCATCTCATATTATCAATTACACATTAATGAAATCTTTTTATACTCATATTTTTCTTTCATAACCAATAATTAAGAAGATAACCAAGTATATTCAAATATTTTAATATTCTTATCCTAACCTATTTATACTTAATAACATTACATTCATCATATTATTTTTTAACTTTTAGAATATCATAATAGGCTTGATAAGTCCCCAAAAAATTTTTCTGATGATAGCCAAACCTTATCAATTCCATTAATTTAATTTTTATTATTTTTATAATATAATAATTTATACCTTCTTTTCCCCCCTTTTTTAATCTTATTTTTTAATTACCTTACAATTAATTAACCTTAATCTTAATAACATTACATTCATCATGTTATTTTTTAACTTTTAGAATATCATAATAGGCTTGATAAGTCCCCCAAAAAATTTTTTTGATGATAGCCCTCCAACTAATTTGTTATTTTATTCATACAGATGAATGGAATTGATGGTGTAAACGTACCTAACATGGATGAATTGATAAAAACAATTTTCCCTCAAATTTGTAAATATAAATGAAACTTTTTATTTCACTTAATCCTTTCTTTATTTTTTAGATTACCTTATCAATTTTAAACTCATATTATCAATTACACATTAATGAAATCTTTTTATAATCATATTTTTCTTTCATAACCAATAATTAAGAAGATAACCAAGTATATTCAAATATTTAAATATTCTTATCCTAACCTATTTATACTTAATAACATTAAATTCATCATCTTATTTTTTTACTTTTAGAATATCATAATAGTACCACAATCCCTATGCCACCTCCGCCTATTTTTTAACAAATATAAACATTTAATTCTGTACTATCATTCGCTTCACTAGGAGTTAATATAAATATTACTTTATCCGATTCTCTGAGAAACTTTCATGAATATTTAGAGGAATGTTCAAACTTGAATGTACAGTACAGCCAATTTATCAACTTTATTAATGGGAAAATATGCAGTATTTCTGTCATGGCCTTTATAACAATACTTATGACCGTTTTATGGTTGAGTTAACATTGTCGTTCATGATTTTATTTTAGAAGGGGATACCAATTCTGACATTGACAGAAATAATCATTTTGCCTGTTTAAACTTGAATGTACAGTACAGCCAATTTCATCAACTTTATTAATGATGCAGTAGTTCTGTCGTGGCCTTTATAAAAATACTTACGACCGTTTTATGATTTAGTTAAAATTGTCGTTCATGATTCTATTTTAGAGGGGGGGGGTACTAATGCTGACATTGACAGAAATATCGTTTTGCGTTCATATGCATAACATCTTTATCAGGACGTATTGTGTTTTGTACACTGCTTTGATAATCCGTCATTACTTTCATCTACAACCAGAGTTGTACAAAAGATCTTCTTTGAAGATTTTTGAGCGAGATCTAGCTCAAA